CACACCCACACCCACACCCACCCTACAGTCTTGTGGAGAATTTCACATGCTATCTTTTCATAAAAAAGACCATTTATTTAATTGGAGAATAGAAAAGAAATTTCGAAAATATCAGAAATGCAATTGTATATGACTCACCCGTTATTAACCATCAGTTCCATAGATGACATTGAGATAAATAATAGAAATCAATTTATTTTCTATCATATTATATGCTGTTTTAATTTTTTTTCTGACTTTTAAATAAGACACAAATGGCAGTGTAAAAAAGCGTGTAAAATATCAAGTATCAGAATTTTGAGATAATCCATCGAATGAATGGATTGTTATACCAGTACAATCAGGTTGCTTCAAAGTGAGTGATTGAAACTCGGATTGAGTCATAAGTTCAGCATACTTGGATGCTCTTTCGTAGTCACCTTTTTCTTGACAAACGGTACTTAAAATATGGTAATTTACGATAATAGTCGGGTGTGACTTGGGCAAAGAATTCAGTTTAACTTCTAGTGAACGTTCATAAAATGTTAAGGCTTCATCAAACTGACCAAGAGCTCGATAAAGGCTTCCGATACTAAGCATAGTTGTGGCAATAGATCGATCATTCTCTGGAAGCACTTGTTGTTTAATCTTTAAAGCTTTCTGTAGAAATTCTAGGGCAATATTTGAGACATCATGAATATTTTTCGTCTGCAAATAAGTATTTCCTATCTCATGCAAACAAAAGGCTATTAAAGGATGCATCTCATCATGATTTGTTTTTAGAATTGATAGAGCTGTCTCTAATGATTGAAGTGCTTCATCTGTATTACCTATTCGTGCGTGCATTGCTCCAACACTACGATAAGAATCAGCAATTAGATCATGATTGGCAGGAAGTACTTGTTTATATTTCTCAAGTCCTTTTTGATACCACTCAAGGCTCTTTTTATAATCCTGATTCTGTTGAGCGATATTGCCAAGTGAGTTATAGCAAACAGCGGTATTTTCTTGGTCATAACGAAAACCTTGACGACCTAGCATTTTATTCAACGATAAATGGTAATACGTTTCTGCCAAGTCGAATCTACCCATGTCTACCATTATATGTCCAAGCGTAATCAACGAATTGTCATCACGAAGGCGTTTTGTTTGATGAAGTAATAATTTCCTAAGGTTAACATCTACGTCGTAAAATTCCAGTGATCATGTGAATCTTTTCGTCTTCGTCGAAACGAACATCACAAACGCGAAAAATACATCCAGCCATAAAAAGTGTTTCTTGTTCTTCAGGAAAATAACTCTTCGAACTAATATCCGCAAATGGTATAAGATCGTTGATTTTTGAAGGATCAGCATCAATAATGAATAATACACGCTTTAACGGGATTCGCTGATGAACACGCCATCGTTCTAACTGCTGAGCAGCGTCACCCAGAACGAATAATGCTAGATTTCGATCGACAGTTGTTGATAAAAAAGATTTCATCAAAACTGATTGGTTCACAGATTTTTCAAAAGTAGTTAGTTCCTCAGCAGAAATCAATTGACCACGATACGTTCGAATTGGTGTCTGAGGTTGAACATGTTGTAATGCGTTTAATTGTTCATAGATATCGCTGATAAAAAAACGCATATGAAGAAGAATCTCGATATTCTGCTGACGTAGTGCTTTATTTAAAGCACTATAGAAAAAAGTTTGACGTGTATACCTGAAACATGATACACGTAAGACATATATACAAAGTAACACATTTTTATACACTCATGTTGAATAAAATATGTTGAATTTGTATCGCTATAGGGATCAATAAAGTTATTCAAATAAGAAAATCTTTAAAACTTGCATTGTTTAGATTAGTGTTGATATCACGACTTGGAGTTTACTTACCACCAAAAAACCCGATCAGGTGAATACGTATTCATAAACTCATCAAGAATGCGTCTGTCACTTATAATATCTGAGCATTTATTAGTCCAAAATGCCAAAAATTCGTCTTCATCATTTGCTGTCCAATCCATTTTTCGAAGAAATTCGAGTAGTAGACGAAAATGAATAAAATCTCCATCAGAATCAAGAGTTGAGTCACCGTATGAGTTAACCAAGAAAGTTACCACTGACAGCGATTCTTTCGCCTTATTCATTCGTTTTTGATCGAGTTCAAGTTTAGTAACAAGTTTATGCATTTCGTTAAATGTACCACTTATCTAAACAAAGTACAATGTATAACCTTTCAAATATAAGTATTAAATATGAATTATATAATTCACCTTGGTAAAATTCTTCGTCAATGCTTCTTCCCAATTTTGATCACGACAGTAAATATAAATTGATTTGATGTTTTCAAGATCATAAATATTTTCAATCAATTTCTGTGCACATTGTCTGCTAACAATAATCAAGAACGAGTTTTCACTATGTTGTTGAACATATTCTTCACAATCTGATGATCGTTCAAATACCAATATTTGAATGCTTTCAAACAACTGCCGAAGTTCTTGCTGAGCTTTTCGATTTTCTTCTTCAATATTCACATTCGCATCGACCCAAATGATTGCATCAACGAATATATTCTCTTCTTCTTCCTCTTCGTCTGCCGAACTTCGAACATCGTCAGTATCAACCGATTCAGTCATATTGTTAATAACGATTGATTTTTAAAATATATAGAATTGAGAAAAAAATGATCTGTTAAAACTTATATATGCTTAATAAACTATCTAAAAGAAAAGTTTATAAATGGTCAAAAAAAGTTAGCTCCAAAGTGCGTAAACTCCAAATTTGGAGCTAACTTACGCCCAGTCCATGCTATACCAACACACTACAATCCAGGTTTCATATCCAGTCAAGTAACCATATCCTGTACAAGTTGCAAGAGATCCTCAAGCCATATCCTACAGAGGTACTCACAGGTCCTCAAGCCCTATTCTATAGAGGTACCCCCTAAGTCCTCAAAGCCTATCCTAGAGAGGTATCCACAGGTCCTCAAATCCTATCCTATACGGTACCCATAGGTCCTCAAGGGCTATCCTATAGGGTACCCAGAGGTCCTCAAGGACTATCTTACAGGGTGCCCAGAGGTCCTCAAGCTCTATCCTATGGGATACTCAGAGGTCCTCAAGCCCCATTCTGTGGGGATACCCATAGGTCCTCAAGGCCTATCCTATGAGGGTACCAATAGGTCCTCAAGGGCTATCCTATAGAGATGGGCACCCCGATAGGATAGGCCTTGGGCACCTATGGGTACCCCCATATGATAGGGCTTGAGGACCTATGGGTAGCTCTATATGGTAGACCTTGAGGATCTGTAGGTAGCTCAAAAAGGATAGTCCTTGGGGACCTCTGAGTACCCCATAGGATAGGCATTGATGATCTATGGATACCCCCCCCCCCCCCCCCCCACACACACAGGATAGGGCTTGAGGAATTAGAGATACCTCTATAGGATAGCCCTTGAGGATTTATTATAGTCGTGTAGTCTTAGAACTGTTGACCTTTAACCTTTGACGCGGCACAGATAGACACGCACTGAACTATATGTATATAGATATGGATGCGAGAGTGAGCTCCAAATTTGGAATTTACCTGTGGAGCTAATTTTTTTTTGACCTTTATAAATCCAGTTAAGGGCCGCTCTCCCCCCCCCCCCCCCCTCTCCCCTTAAAAAAAGTTAATTTTCGTCAGAATGGTCACGATTGACATAAATACACGAGGAGATAGCCTGTCATTTGCTCTTTCATAAACGATAAAAACTTTTCTTCGGTACCCCCTTTTTTTCAGAAAAATTTTCGATATTTTTGACGACCCTTATTCGAAAAACCCAAAAATCTTTTTCGTTTTTTCTCAAAATGGTGGTCGAATGACGTATCTCCAGCGAAAGTCAACTATAATCCGATATAAAGTCAAATGTTTTTTTGCTTGAAAGCTCGTGTTTGGAGCTAGCCTACCTCGTGGCCCTTTTTTTTAAATAAGCCCTTTTATTATTATATAAGAAGCCATCTCTATAGAAAAAGCACTATCTTTTAGTGATTTTTTTGAGTCATTGAACTTGTCATCCCTTTCCTACGCTTAAAAAGTATGAATTAAAAAAAGGGCCACGAGGTAGGCTAGTCCTAGAGACAAGCTTTCAAACAAAAAAAGAAATTATATATTGGCGTGCCAAGCCATAGGATACCCCGCTTTGCTTTGTTCGTATTATCAATTAAAAAGCTTAACCATATTCGGACCAAATTATCATCCTCATTGGTAAACTAATAAATTTAAAATATTAGCTACTGATCGCTCTCTTGTAATGAAATTATTCAGTTCCTAAAATTGTGTCATATCGTTTTTGGAGGGTTGAATAGTTTCATTATAAAAGAGCGATCAGTAGCTAATATTTTAAATTTAGTGTTTTAGCAATGAGGGTGATAATTTTGCCCGAATATAGTTAGACTTTTTAACTGATTATACGAAAAAAGCAAATCGGCGTATCCTATGGCTGGCCACACCCATATATATAATGAGAGTCCACAGAGAATTCTGGGAGATGAGATGAGCTATTTTTTTTACCCTTGTTTGGTTCATATCTCCGTCAAACGCCAGGGTATCGAGCTGAAAATTTTATCACAGCCTCCTGACTTCACTCCCAACATATGCTCCAAATTTCAGCCAGTTTGAGCATACCTGGGCTGAGATCGATTTTTGAGGGGGCCTCTTAAAGTAATATTAGACTCATATCAAATAATGTCATCACATAATAAGAAGAAGATTTGAAGGAAACAAACCGTTGCTTAATAATCTTATCTGTTCTACGCTAAAAGACACATTTCAAATCTCAGAATATATTTGGATAAATGAGTTGTTATTTCAATATAAGAAAAATTTCAAGTCTACAGATTTATAGTTTTTTCCAGGGAAGGTTTTTGATATGTCATATGTGAGAAAGGACGGGGTACAGTTTGTCCACAAATCGATCCTAATAGAATTTTTTGTTTGCAAGCCTTAAATCTCATATCTGGAATGAAAGAGCTCAGCGAATTGAATAATTTTTGCAACGGAACTTGGTATTATCGATGCGACCGTAAACGAGTTCTAGTCGCCCTAACTTTTAAACTTTGACTCATTTCGTGGTTTGTCTCGAATGAAACTCTTTCACAGTCGCATCGATAATACCAAGTTCCGTTGCAAAAAATACTCAATTCGTTGAGCTCTTTCGTTCCAGATATGAGATTTGAGGTTTGCAAACAAAAAAATTTATTAGGACCGATTTGTGATCAAGCCGATCCCCGTCCTTTGCAGATGAGGAAATCAACATTTTTTTTAGTTTTCGATTTTTCATTTTTAATTAGGTGTATGATAGCTTATATACCTGAATAATTTTGAAACAATAAATCAAGGAGTTCGACTTCTTAAAATGAGATGTTTACTATTCCTAGTCTAAGTCAACGACATTTCAATAATTGATATTATCAAGTTATACTTGCGGCGCCACAGAGAGGGCTCAGTCCTTTGAAAAAAACTAATTATTCTGCATCATACACTATTGCAATATACTAGCTAAGATACAGAGATTTTTCTAGCTTACTATTGATTGCTTATTGAAAATCACATCAAAAGTCCACAAAACATTGCGAACTTTAGAAATGCAATCTTGCAAATGTACAACTCTTGGTTTTTATACTCCCGTTAAACAAAGAAGCATGTCAGAGATAAAGCATTCCATCTGTGTCAATTTAACTGCTTAATCTCTCTAATCCTACTCTAATTCTCACTTCAGCTATATGCTACTTCAAATTCAGATAACACAGTTCGTATTTTCCTAAAACCCATTCCATCTCCAACACTTAATTTATGTTCTAACTCAACTCCAATCTGGTAAGAAAAGATGTCAATCGCTAGTTGAAATAGTCTATGTCTACTCAATTTCTCTCCATTGTTATCTGATATACTCTGAAATCAATAGAAGCTAAATTGCAGTGAAAGAAAAACATTAATTCCGATTTCACCCCAGTTCTACCCATCAACTACGAAATTTTACTTCAATTCTGATAAAGAACGTGTTAGTGCGATCCTTACAGGATTTAAATATTAAACACGATGGGGTTGCTTAATTAGTAAATAAGGAACTTTTTCAACATTTTTTTTTTTCGAATTCCTACTCACTGTTAATGTGCGCCGATGATGAAAGGTATTAATCTTAATATGATACAGTGAGCATGAAAGAGAAGCAAAAGGCAGTTATCTTAAATTCAATCATTTTCCATGATAATTTTAAGATGGGCTTCGATTTTGCAGCTTTTTCTGTCAAGATCTGCAGGAAGGTGGGCGAGGTATAAGTTTCTAGCGTTATACTTCGACATTCTTGTTAGATTATGTTACTCCAAAAGCGTCGGCTTCAGAATTAACTCCAACTTTAATTTGGAGCTGCCCATCCTTGGTTCTCTGTAAATAAGTGTAAGTGCTTTATTTATTATGAAATATGTGCCGCTCTTGATGACTTTTAACACTCGAAAAACTTCCACGACACTTTGACTTTCGAAAACTTACGGGCTTAGCTCACCTGGACCAAAATTCCTGGCGTCACCATTACCGAGTTAGTCGATGTAGAAATATAACATTTAGTTTCGAATGCAGTAAAATCAACTAGTCTATCAATGAGTTCATAAATGAAAGGGTAGATTGGCGGGAATATGACGACAATTCACGAGAGATATAAAAAAAAGAATTATTAATGAATATTGGACATTCCAGTGCATGTAGACACAATGAATTTCTTCTTATATTTTTATACACATTTATTTTCTGTTCGTCACCATCACTTGCTGCATTTCAACCAGCCGATCTTTCGTCTTTTACAACTACGTTTCACAGTCGGAAGAAAAAGAAACATTTTCAATTCTGCTCGATTTATTCAAGTGTCTTTACAGAATAAAAGAGAAAAAAAATGAAATGTTTGGTTTTATTTCATCAAAAGAAAAAAAATTATTTTGCAGCTGAGAGCGTGATATGCCGTTAAAAGAGTAATTGATCAGGCTTGTTTCCTAGGCTGAAAGGAGAGGGTCCAAAAACCGAAACTCACCTGTGTCTGTCTGTCTGTCTCTAACACCTGGCACAAGTGACCATTTTCATGGTACAAGTGACAATTTTCGTGGTACAAAGGATCATAATGATGGTAAGAAGTACCACAGCCAGGGTGTGAGTGTGAGTGTGGGTGTGGGTGTGAGGGTGTGGGTGTGGGTGTGGGTGTCGGTGTGGGTGTGGGTGTGGGTGGGTGTGAGTGTGGCTGTGGGTGTGG